TTAGTCTTTGTTATCCGATCGGATTCATTTAAACCATACCTTGTTCTTGGCGTCACCTCAAAGGACTCATGGTTCCTAAGAATTCCATTCCTCTGATCTGGTTTATACCTCAGAGGACTCATGGAATTCATTCTTAACATTTATAAATTTTTCATAAGACAACTAAATAAGCTATTGCATACCATGAATGCAAACATATGGACTAACATATTCCAGCTCAATCATACTATTATCCTACTAAACTTCTTAACTAATTCATTCAATTTCTCATACAATACAAGAATTTCAGTAGTAAGATTATTCAGGGGTTTACTAGAATTAGAAACAAATGGGAATTCCATTAAGAAGGTGGATGCCTACAGTTCGTTACTTTCAAGCAATTTTTCCATTATCTTCTAATTCGAATTATTTTTGGCTAAAACATAAACGTTTTAGGTCTGTTTCTCAACTTTACACTTCAAGAATCAACTCAATCAGACTTCTATAACTTCAGTTATGACTGATTCAGTGAAGCATGTACAGTATAAGTCTTAAAACAGCCAAATCCGAATTCTATTCCTTTTAACCATGTCACCTTCATTTGCACATTCATATTATTGCCATATCATTCTAAGTATAAAAGGCCATAAAAACCTCCCTTTTACAGAACCAAAAGTGCCAAAACACGTCCAACTACAAATCTCTTAATTGGCATATCATCCTCCATAGGACACATACACCAATCAACACACCCATCTAAACAACTCATAACCAAAACATAGCATCACACTCATATTAACATAAATAAATGTAAGTTTCATAAACCCTAGGTGTTATCAATTGTAGTCATAAGGGAGATGTTCTTACCTTAGTATTCAAACACCAAAGGTACTCTCTGGCTCCAAAGTTTCACTTTCTACCTTACACACATAACCACTTATGAATTCTCTTTTAACTAAAAAATTCAGAAAAAATAGGGTTTTGAAACTCACCTTTTCCCTGAATTAGGTTCTTTAAGGGTAGATGGTGATCTCCTTTAAAAATCAACTTGAAATCCTAAGAAAATTTGAGAATAAAAGCTTGGATTAGTGGCTTTATGGTGGATTTGAGAGAGGAAGAAGAAGAGATATATTTGGGGTCTCCAAGCCGGCACTATCTCTCTTTAAACCTGTAAATATTCATTACATTGATACTTAAATATGATTGGTCAATAAAAGTTAGATATAAAGGTCATTTGGCATAAATTTTTCATATAAGGGCGTTTTGGTCATTTCCACCACAACATAAAGATAAGCACTCATTTAATGCCATTTGACTTCTTTAAAACACTTAACCATTAAGTAATTCTACTAGGTAAATGACTAATTACCCTTGGTGCACTTTTATGGACACTTAAATCATATGGTTTGTATGAAAAGACCATTATACTTGGTTACCGTTTACGCCATTTAACCATATCAATCAACTTTGAACATCTAACCTCATTTATCTTCAATGACATCACCCTTACACTTAATAATGGCCACATCTCGAAATACATGTAAATTGACCATTTACCTTCCATTAAAAAAAGAAAATTACTTGAAAAGTAAATTTCATACCTTAAGGCATTGGAATAATAACGCGGGTTTACATCAGGCAGATCAAGGAACTGGCCATAACGGCCAGATCTAGCCTGATATGGCCGAAACGGCCAGTTCCATCGATCTGCCTGATATGGTCGTTTTCGACCATCAATATGGCCAGAAACGGCATAGCGGAGCCTCTTGGTCACGGTGAGTTATCATGGGGACTTTCGGAGACATCGGCGGTGGTTTGGGGTGGCGGCAGGAGGGTGGGGTGATTTCAATAAATTAAAGTTTTATAAGCGGGGGTGTTTTAGCTAAATCTGAAATTTGGGGTAAAAGAAATTATTCAAAAATTAATAATAAAAATAAATATATATTAATATTTAAAAGGGGACATTAGTATTTAAAAACAACCCACCAATATTCCCCATAACCAAACATATTAATATAAAATACCCACCAACTAACCAAACAATTTCCTAAAGATTCCCAGTAACTTCAAGGTATCTATCTTTCCAGTAATCCAACATTCCATATTAACATTCCTGAATCAAATGTCCTATGTAGTTATCACTTTGGCCTTTGGGCATAACTAAATAAAATATTTAGACAATTTAATTAATAATATTTCTTTAAGTATTTATTAATATAATATTTATAATAATAGTTTATTGGATCTAGACGTCTAGTGGAATTGGGAAGAAAATTATATATAATATATAAACTATAGTAATTATAAAACAATAGTAATATCACTTTGGGCATGCATAACTAAATCAAAAGCTTAGACCACTTAATAATAATAATTGCTTTTAAGTATATATATAATAGAAACACTATTTATTTGGGTTAACCTGAATCTAACCCAACCAAGCTCAAATTTAGTAATCTAATAACAAGTCCAATCTAATTGGACTTACTGTGAAGGGCGCGTTGCCCCCTCATCCCCGCCTCTCACAACAGAGCGGGACGGTTGCCCACTCACCAGGAAACGGGACCCCGAATACGTTATTAATCAATAAGTTGGAGATCAATTTGCAAGGTTAGGTCTGTGAACAAGAAATAAATAATCATTACAGAGCTTAGAAATGTGGTAGGATTTATGTTGGTTTCATCTCCTTGTGATTTAATAAATGTTCTCAAGTGTCAATTGCAATTAATTCAAACCACTTGTGATTTAATTCACAATCTTTTCGTATTTTTTATAATAAGAATATAAGTTTACTTATAAAAATTGAACTTAGTGAATCAATGAGACTATGGGTAGCTTGTACCATTATGTAAAGATTATTTATCTTATTCATCATTATAATTCAAATTATTTATCTTATCATCAATAGATGATTTTTCACCACATGGTAGGTCATAAAAGCTATCCGGACGACCTTTTAAAACAACAAGCCAATTAGGATTGGAACCATCATTAACATAGAATATTTGTTGTGCTTGAGATGCAAGCACAAATGGTTCATCCGTATATAATTTTCGAGCTGTATTAACACTAACAAAACCATACTTATCGTTCTTCACACCTCTTCCAATCACATGAACATCTCACCAATCACATTTAAATAACACAATCCGTTTTTCAATCAAATATTGAAGTTCAATTATTTCATTAAGAACTCCATAATAATCTATATTTTTATCCTCCACCATTCCTTGTACCAAAACACCACTATTTTGCTTTACCTTTTTTCCTTCAAGTTGCTTAGTGTGAAACCTAAAACCATTTATGATATAGCCTGAAAACCTTTGTATACCATAAAAAAGACCACGAGACAAAGATAATAGATCTTCATTTACACATGTACTCTCTTCTTTATACAATTGTACAACTTATTAAAAAGAAGACAAGAAGAAATAATAAGAATTAAATGTCAAAATGCGTAGAAATAAAATTTCACAAAAGGAAACCTTACTCGATGATGAAACCATTCATGAAAATCCTCTTGATACATGCCTTGCTCATGTTCACTGCAAACAATTTGAAAAAATAAAGTAAGAACCAACAATGAAAAAATAGTACATTAAAAAAAGAAAAAAAAAACTAAGCACCAAATAAAAAAATTGAACAAGGAAACTATCATACCATAAAAAAGGTTGCACTTCTTCATAATTTTTCAACACATAAAGATGGGCTTGTTTCCATTCATTATTTTCAATCGACCTACACTTATCCCTTGTTAAAGGATATCCACACTGATGAAATATAGATAACCCTTTGCCTGAATCAACATTACTACCTTCAAAATTTCTTCCCAACTTATCAAGCTTAGTTTCAATACAATTTAAATATCTCGAGCAAAATATTAGACTTTCTTCCACAATGTACCCTTCTGCAATAGAACCTTCTGGTCTACTTTTATTACGAACATAACGATTCAATTTTCCTAAGAACCTATACAAATGTTTCTTTAGCTAATTAATAACTTATTATAACCACACACATATAAACATAAAATAGATATATGAAATAATGAAAACAAAATATTACCTCTCAATAGGATACATCCATCGATATTGTACAAGTTCTGCAATTTTTGCTTCAGTTGCAAGGTGAACAGTTAAGTGCACCATAACATCAAAAAATGCCGGTGGAAAGATTCTTTCTAATTTGCACAAGGTTATTACAATTTGAGATTCAAGGCGCTCCAATGCTTCTTTTTTCAACACTTTTGAGCACAACTCTCTAAAAAAAAAGCTCAACTCAGTTATAGCATCATACACATTATTAGGTACAATTCCATGCATTGCCATAGGAAGAAGTTGTTCTAAAAGAATATGGGAATCATGGCTCTTGAGACCATTTATCTTGCACTCCTTAACACTTACACATCGTGAGATGTTAGATGAATATCCATCAGGAACCTTTACACTTTTTAAAAACTTGCATATTTTAGTCTTTTCCTCTAAAGATAAAGTGTAACATGCTACTGAATAAAACCACTTCCCATCCTTTTGAGTTAGATGCAAATCCTTCCTTATACCCATTTCCTTTAGATCACAATGAGCATTCAAGTTGTCTTTGGATTTCCCCTCAATATCTAACAATGTACCTATGATATTGTCACATATATTTTTTTCAATGTGCATGACATCCAAATTGTGACGTAATAAGTTCTTTTTCCAATATGGCAATTTAAAAAAAATGCTTTTCTTCCTCCAATTTAGCATGTTTTGATTTTTATCATTTATCTGCTTCTTTTTAGCCTTACCAAATGTAATATGTTGAAGCATTTGTAATTGGTTCAACACATCATCTCCCGACATCTTCTTGGGAGCAGACCTTTTCTCCAATTTTCCATCAAAGGAAGACTTGTTCTCTCACCATTGATGATTCATTGGTAAAAATCGACGAGCCCCCATGTAAGAAAACTTACGACCATATTTAAGTCGAGTAGATGGGGTCTCCTTATTGCATGAAGGACAAGCCATTGCTCCTTTAGCACTCTACCCTGACAAATTAGCATATGTAGGAAAATCATTAATTGTCCATAAAAGTGCAGCACGCATGCAAAAATTTTCCTTTTTTGAAGCATCAAAAGTCTCAACTCCATAATGCCATAATTCTTGTAACTCCTGTATCAAAGGTTGCAAGTACACATCAATGTCATTCCCAGGAGCTTTAGGCCCAGGTATTAACAATGATAGCAAACAATAGGGTTGCTTCATACATATCCAAGGAGGTAAATTATATACATTAACAATTACTGGCCAAGTGCTATACGAAACACTCATATTACCAAAAGGGTTGATTCCATCAGATGCTAGCCCAAGTCTAACATTACGAGGCTCTCTAGAAAATCCTGGATGTAAAATATCAAAAGATTTCCATGCATCAGAGTCAGCTGGATGTCTTAGAATGCCATCTTGGGGACGCTCCTCATGATGCCATCTCATATCTGAAGCTGTTTTTGATGACATAAATAGTCTTTGTAATCTTTGTTTTAGTGGAAAATAACGTAACACTTTCCTAGGAATCTTCTTGCCACTCTTGTTAGGATTAATCGCATTCTTCTCAACTGATTTCCATCTAGATTCACCACAAATCAAACAATTTTCATCATTTGCATTGTCCTTCCAGAAAAGAACACAATCATTCTCACAAGCATCTATTTTTTCATAGTGAAGACCCAGATCTCTTATAAGCTTTCTTGCGTCACAAAAAGATTTTGGTAAATTTTCACCACGCGGAAGTGCCTTTTTAAGCAATTGCATTATGCAGTCAACTGCTTTATCACTTATTCCATAAAGACATTTAATCTGAAATAATTCCACAATAAATGACAACTTTGAGAACTCATCACAACCAGGATAAAGTTGTTGTTGGGCATCTTCTAATAGCTTAAGAAATTTAAGGGCTTCTTTATTTGGAACCAATGGTGAAGCATCAGGTTCAACATTATTAGGATTGTTAGGCTCGATAGTGTCTTGCACACAAACATCTTGCATTATAGCATCCATTAGGTTAGGTCCAGCTGCATCATGAATCATCCCAATTATATCATCTTTTTCTTTTGTTTTTAAGTCATTAGGGACATGTTTCTTTTTAGCGATGAATTCACCATGATATAACCAACGAGTATATCCTTTGACGATTCCATGCATTAACAAGTGACCATGTACTTCATCTTTTGTTTTGTGCAAAACATTGTTACACTTCATATAAGGGCATGGGATCACACCACCTAAGTTTGTGTGACTAAAAGCAAAGTCAAGAAAATTCTAAACTCCTATCCTATACTCATTACACAATCTATCTGTACATTGCATTCATTGTTTGTCCATTTCAATCATGTTTAAGTATTAATATATAATAATTAAAAAATAAAATAACTACTTGATCCAAATAAACTAAATGAAAAATAACTAATGTGAAACACATACATTAATTTAGAAGTCATCCACTAAAATCTACCTTCCACAAAATTTCATTGAAGATATTTTACAAACAGATGATGAGCTTGTTATTAAAAGCAAAATTCAAAAATCAGAAAACGAAACAAATGCATCAATATAAAGATAATGCAAAAAGATGCAGAGATTGTTATTAACTAACCTTTTTTCTTGAAATCAACAATTCAGATAAGTAATACGTCCACCCAATTCAATTCAAGTTGGCTAATTGAGGACTCAACAAACGGATTCAAACCCAATCTGATAGTGGCGAGAACCCAATCTGATAGTGGCGAATGTGAGTGAAAACCGAGGCATTTGGGAATAAAAAAAAGAAAATAGATGTTAATAAACATGAGATGGAGGAGATCCTGACCTAATCTTTGATATTGATCTTGAGCTACCAAATCAATTTCGTTTTGTCTAATCTAATGGTACAACTCTCACCTATCCACGGTCAAATATCTCACATTTATGTTATTTATTTTTTTACAATTTTATCCCTTACTAATAAAAGTTTTGGATAATAATACTCCTACTTTAAAACAAATTTATATTAATATCTTATTTCAATTTTACCTCTGTTTAATTAAAATTTTGGACAATAATACTCTTATATTTAAAATAATTTACAGACAACCACTGCCACCCAGCCACCACCACCATTGCCACCCAGCCACCACCGCCGATAGCGGGCCAACCACCACGGGCCGCTGCCGAAAAATTGTCGGAGTCCCTAAAAAAGAACGAAATTCAGTGGGAGGCTCCGGGAGGCTTCGTTATTGCCGTTTCTGGCCATATTGATGGCCGAAAACGGTCATATCAGGTGTAAAACCCCTCCCTAGCCGGGTATTTCCTAAGTATCCCTTGGCCATTGAGAACCTAGAAAACGCACGCCTAGGAATGAAGTTTATTTTTAAACTATAATAAGTTCATTGTATAATCAAAAAATATAATTTCCTTACTAGAACATACATACTTTTATAAAATTTACTAGCAATTTGATTTCCTTTATTAATACAACATATTTACACCATTATAGAACATGGACATAATTACTACATTATGAGATATGAACATAATTACTACACTAAATATTAGCAAAACCATTCAATAGTCATCATTAAAGCATCCCCTCATGCTCATAGCGTCCCTTGGAATCCTCTCCCAGCTTCATGCCTTAATCCGTACCTGCAAAACATTTTAAAACAATGTTTTGATTTTTATCATTTACTGCTTCTTTTTAGCCTTACCAAATGTAATATGTTGAAGCATTTGTAATTGGTTCAACACATCATCTCCCGACATCTTCTTGGGAGCAACCTTTTCTCCAATTTTCATCAAAGGAAGACTTGTTCTCTCACCATTGATGATTCATTGGTAAAAATCGACGAGCCCCCATGTAAGAAAACTTACGACCATATTTAAGTCGAGTAGATGGGGTCTCCTTATTGCATGAAGGACAAGCCATTGCTCCTTTAGCACTCTACCCTGACAATAGCATATGTAGGAAAATCATTAATTGTCCATAAAAGTGCAGCACGCATGCAAAAATTTTCCTTTTTGAAGCATCAAAAGTCTCAACTCCATAATGCCATAATTCTTGTAACTCCTGTACAAAGGTTGCAAGTACACATCAATGTCGACTACCTTCAAAATTTCTTCCCAACTTATTAAGCTTAGTTTCATTACAATTTAAATATCTCGAGTAAAATATTAGACTTTCTTCCATAATGTACCCTTCTGCAATAGAACCTTCTGGTCGACTTTTATTACGAACATAGCGCTTCAATTTTCCTAAGAACCTATACAAATGTTTCTTCAGCTAATTAATAACTTATTATAACCACACACATATAAACATAAAATAGATATATGAAATAATGAAAACAAAATATTACCTCTCAATAGGATACATCCATCGATATTGTACAGGTCCTGCAATTTTTGCTTCAGTTGCAAGGTGAACAGTTAAGTGCACCATAACATCAAAAAATGCTGGTGGAAAGATTCTTTCTAATTTGCACAAGGTTATTACAATTTGAGATTCAAGGCGCTCCAATGCTTCTTTTTTCAACACTTTTGAGCATAACTCTCTAAAAAAAATGCTCAACTTAGTTATAGCATCATACACATTATTAGGTACAGTTCCACGCATTGCCATAGGAAGAAGCTGTTCTAAAAGAATATGGGAATCATGGCTCTTGAGACCATTTATCTTGCACTCCTTAACACTTACACATCGTGAGATGTTAGATGAATATCCATCAGGAACCTTTACACTTTAAAAACTTGCATATTTTAGTCTTTTCCTCTGAAGATAAAGTGTAACATGCTGCTGAATAAAACCACTTCCCATCCTTTTGAGTTGGATGCAAATTCTTCCTTATACCCATTTCCTTCAAATCACGACGAGCATTCAAGTTTTCTTTGGTTTTCCCCTCACTATCTAACAATGTACCTATTATATTGTCACATATATTTTTTTCAATGTGCGTGACATCCAAATTGTGATGTAATAAGTTCTTTTTCCAATATGGCAATTTAAAAAAAATGCTTTTCTTCCTCCAATTTAGCCTGTGATGCTTGTTTACTACAACATGCAAAAATAGCAAGTATACTAGTCGCAAAAAGTAATAAAGTGATGAGTGAGTATCGTTCCCACGAGGATAGTGTTACTAATTACCGATTTTTCTAATTTAAGTCCTAATTGAAGCAACAATAAATTGGATTGATGGAAGATTAACAAACTAAATACAAATGCAAAACCCAACAACTTNTGTATGAAAAGACCATTATACCCTTGGTTACCGTTTACGCCATTTAACCATATCAATCAACTTTATGACCATTCTACCCTCATTTATCTTCAATGACATCACCCCTTACACTTAATAATGGCCACATCTCGAAATACATGTAAATTGACCATTTTACCCTTCCATTCAAAAAAAGAAAATTACTTGAAAAGTAAATTTCATACCTTAAGGCATTGGAATAATAACGCGGGGTTTACATCAGGCCAGATCAATGGAACTGGCCATTAACGGCCAGATCTAGCCTGATATGGCCGAAACGGCCAGTTCCATCGATCTAGCCTGATATGGTCGTTTTCGACCATCAATATGGCCAGAAACGGCCATAGCGGAGCCTCTTGGTCACGGTGAGTTATCATGGGGACTTTCGGAGACATCCGGCGGTGGTTTGCGGTGGCGGCAGGAGGTGGGGGTGATTTCATCATAAATTAAAGTTTTATATAAGCGGGGGTGTTTTAGCTAAATCTGAAATATTGGGGGTTAAAAGAAATTATTCAAAAATTAATAATAAAAATAATATTATATTAATATTTAAAAAGGGGACAATTTAGTAATTTAAATAACATACCCACCAATTTATTCCCCATAACCAAACATATTAATATAAAATACCCACCAACTAACCAAACACATTTTCCTAAAGATTCCCAGTAATCTTCCAAGGTAATCTATCTTTCCAGTAATCCAACATTCCCAGTAATCTAACATTCCTGAATCAAATGTCCCTATAGTAGTTATCACTTTGGCCTTTGGGCATAACTAAATAAAATATTTAGACAATTTTAATTAATAATAATTTCTTTTAAGTATTTATATAATATAATATTTAATAATAATAGTTTATTGGATCTAGACGTCTAGTGGAATTGGGATGAAATTATATATATATATATATAAACTATAGTAATTATAAACAATAGTAATTATCACTTTGGGCATGCATAACTAAATCAAATGCTTAGACCACTTTAATTAATAATAATTGCTTTTAAGTATATATATAATAGAAAACACTATTTATTTGGGTTAACCTGAATCTAACCCAACCCAAGCTCAAATATTAGTAATCTAATAACAAGTCCAATTACTAATTGGACTTACTGTGAAGGGCGCGTTGCCCCCTCATCCCCGCCCTCTCACCAACGAGCGGGACGGTTGCCCACTCACCAGGAAACGGGACCCTCGAATACGTTATTAATCAATAAGTTGGAGATCAATTTGCAAGGTTAGTCTGTGAACAAGAAATAAATAATTCATTACAGAGCTTAGAAATGGTAGGATTTATGTTGGTTTCATCTCCTTGTGATTTAATAAATTGTTCTCAAGGTGTCAATTGCAATTAATTCAAACCACTTGTGATTTAATTCACAATCTTTTCGTATTATTTATAATAAGAATATAAGTTTACTTATAAAAATTGAACTTAGTGAATCAAATGAGACTATGGTTAGCTTGTACCCATTATGTAAAGATTATTTATCTTATTCATCATTTATAATTCAAATTATTTATCTTAAATATGTAGAATTTAATTTTCTTCATCATAATTTATGTAATTTATCTTTTAAATGTGAAAAATTAAATAAATTATTCATATTTATTAATAATTATAAGATTAATTAATAAAATAATTTGTTTAATTTTAGTTATGATACATATTAGGGTAAGTAATCAAACATGTAATCCTTGTAAACCCAACTTATTATATACATTTAATTTTGATGCATATTCTACTTAAACAAAACTCTACCAAATTCCAATTCACAAGTACAATAATTTGTTTTCCTTGCATATAGTGAAACAATTGAGGCAATAAATATAAATAGTACAAAAGAAGGGGTATTCCCAAAGAAGTTAAATGTCCAAAATATAATGAAAATGAAATAAGAACAAATT